TAAACTGGAAAAGAAGTTTGAAAATTTGTTTTTTTAAAAAAAAAAGGTTTGGAAGATTATCGAGGTGAGAAAATTTCGAGGTATTTATACATATTTTTAGTGTGGCAAATCAGAGTGGCTCATTGTTCGAGTGGCTAATCATCAAATTCTGAAGTTCAAAGACACAGTATATTGTTTCTTGAGAGAAAGAAAAATAAAGAAATTATAAAATATACTGGACTGAATGTTTGATGATAATGACGTAGTGGCACATTTTTTTTATATATATAATTAACTTCGTAAATATATTTCTTTTGTTACTAATCTTCTTATTTTCGTCTTTGCATTGCATTTTAATAAATTTACCGAAAAGATGTCAGACCAAAGAATTCAGAATGTGATTTAGAATAACATTCATTAAACTTGTTTTATTTATTTTTTATTTTAGCACGGAGAACAATTAAAGTATCAATTATTTTAAAAATTGAATCAAGTAGAAATCACTGTTTATGTCACAAATTATTGGATAAATCTTTAGTAAAAAAAAGGAAATTGAAAAGATTAGTGATATGGATAAATTAGATCAGCAATTACGTTTCTTTAAAATCTCCTTTAGTTGAATCCAATATAAATAAAGAACTTCTCAAAATTTAATTTCATTAGTTTCTATGCAACCAGATCATTTTTCGTTTTTTTATATCTTTTTTTTTATTTTTAGTTTTTCGTTTTCTTTTCTTTTTCTTTTATTTTTATTTTTAAGTTTTCGTTTTCTCATTCTTTTTTTTTTTCGTTTTTTTTTTTGTTTTTTTAATGTAAAGTGGAGGATTGGCTAATTTTAATATAAAATTTTGATATTGCCGATAATAACAAAAAGACTTGTTTGTCGTGAAAGAAATTTGATATCGCGTGACTAGATAAAAAAATAATATAAAATAATATAAAATACAATCAAATATTCTGCATATAAAAAGTAGTTAACAAACAAACAATCTCGGAAAATTAATTAAAAATCGATACAGTTGTTTGTTCAAAAAGTAATATTTGCATTTGATAGGTATTCTGTTTTTAGAGATTTGTGTTGTTATTTCAATTAACAAGAAATCTTTAATAAAGTTAATTGAAAAGGTTAAGATGCATCTTGGAATGCACAGACCATTTATGGGGCTAAATTTCCGCCATATATAAGATCTTAAAATTTTTCTTGACGTTAAAATAAAAAAATTTTTTGGATAAAAATAAAAAATTTTTTATATCACTGCTGTCAATAGCATGTGCGCAGAATAAACAAATGTTTGTGGGGTAAGGTAATTACGTAAATTCATGAATTTATTATTTTTTCCTTAATTGGATTAATTTCTGCTAAACAATTCCTTGTTATAATAATATAAGTAATGTATAAGATATATCTATCAATTAATCTTTATATTTTATTTATTTCATTTCTTTTATATTTTTTCATTCAATCAATAAATTTATTTATGATATGGGACCTTTGCAATAGAAAGGGGAAACTGCCGGAAAAAATGAATTTTACTTTTTATGCAAGATTTAGCATTAACCATTTTTTATTTTTTTCCAGTCGTTTCCCTCTTTTTTATTGCAAGGGTCCCATATAACGATAGTGACTTTTATAATCCCTTTTTTTTTTTTTTATCTTTGGTGTATTTTATTAAAATTACCTATGAGACGAGATCTATAAGCAACAATCTACTAAATTTTTTTGAAAATTTTGAATATTTTACTATGATTATATTTATGCCATTATAATTTTTAAATTTTAAGCTGATGTTGAATGTTTTATTATGTATTGATATTCGATAAATTTTATTTCCCTACCGGTATAATTTGGAAACGATAATTTTTCGGACACATCGTTATATCAAAAAATATAACAACTTTGTTATTATCACAACTTTAATTGTATTAAATAAATTGTGATTTACCAATCGAATCCCAATTCTGAGAAGGTTCAGAGTCACAACTGTTGTAGTCTAAATAATTTATATTGTTTCAATTGGCAATCCAATCTATCCATAAATAGAAATTCATCAATGGTCTTTCAAGTTGTCCTAAATTAATTATTTCAATGTCAGATCAAATAAATAGGTACCTCCTTCAGTCAAAATTCAAAATATCAATTTTATAATTTAGACTCGTCAAAAAAGCCAATACATCAATTTTTAATTCACGTGTGAAGATTTCCTGTATTACATACGACGTATTCGATTACATTTTTTTCAAATGATTAACTATTTTGAAAATATTGTTGACGAAGTGAAGATAAATATCTTCAAAAATGTTGAAACTCCTATTAACTTGGCATTATCAAGCCGATCATGGGCCCGTATTGCCAAAGATCCGTATGCTAAGACGGAATGGTTAATCCTACATTATGGAAAAGCTCATGCAATGTTCCACGCCGTTCGATTAGGACCCTCTTTCATCGATGTAGCCGTTTGCCAAGACTTGTTTGCAAGAAAAGTTATAA